AAACATTCTTTGGAAATAGTGGGTTCACAGCGAATTATCTGAACTACTTCAGTAAGACAGTAATATTGTGCTTTACCTGAAACCTAAAGCTGCACTAGGTGTACATCACATATTAGCACAAAATCTTGATATTTTGAGCACTCAATTGAGAATGTACATATAACGTATCATCAATCGTACTTACAGGTTGTGCTTCGGAGAGCTTGTTAGTCCAAATTAAGAAGATAGAAGAAGCCAACGAAGATAAAAGCCAAGATTAGAGAAGCAGTCCTTGGTAAAATGACATGCACACAACAAAAGATTCGAATTGTATTTCTGTGGTATCCTTGAACACAGCGTCTTCTCAACATGATGTAAACACACTAACTAGCGGAAGTGTTTGTGGGCAGGTCAGACTCTGTTTGTATTTCGCGGGCAGGCGGGGATTATGCAAATGTGTTACCCAGTGACGTATACCGGTAACAGGCAAAAGATTCGAAAATATGACGACTCGTTAAGGCGATTCAGAATCGACTCTCTCTTTTGAGAGACAATATCTTTATTTATCATGCACTTTTATGATTAACAACTTTGCAGATTGTTTTCATTTAAGGATATATCCATATGGGTTTAAGTTGAAAAAACCAACATATGCTGGTTAGGTATGTTTTGACGCTGAGATGCTGGTTTAAGCTGGTCCTTTTCTGGTTTATGCTGGTCCTTTGCTGGTTTAAACCAGCATATGCTGGATTTTTCAACAGGGTAGCTACGTTATAAACTGCAAAAGAGATATTTTTCAAAAAAAAACATATGACCTGCTCTTTAAGCACAGAGAATTGTTCATTCTGATGTTACTTTTATTTAGCAATATTGGTTACACAATTAATTATATGGCAGGTACTTCTATCAAACTTCACTAACATTATAAGAGAATCTCAAGGAAAATAATCATTAAAAGTGACATCTGTATAGTCAAATCTACCACAGTCTGATCCCCTGCAGAAACCTTTAAATATTTATCTTTCTGCTTTGCAGCGAGGAAGCAAGAAATCATCAAAGTAACTGAGCAACTCATTGAGGCCATCAGCAATGGAGATTTTGAGAATTACACGTGAGTTTTTCATCCAGTCTTTCACCATCCACATTTGCTAATCTATAAATATGAATGTACTGTAATGGAGACTGGCAACGGTTGTGACATCTTTATCATCTGTAAAGGCCTGTTCACGTCAAGGATGTTAACTATAACTATACACTTTGACTAATTGTTCTTGTTATATGAGAATAGCGAAGTCCACACCACAACTATAACGATAATGACAGAGAGAAATTAGATTGTTGGAATCATTTTCAGAACAATTTTTTCCAGATGATGAGTGATAAAAACATTGACAGCCAATCTATAAAGAGCTCAAGCATTTAAAGCAGCAGACAACATAACTGCAGTGCATGCTTATAATAAACAGAATGTTATTGTGTGCTGGTGTGGATGCAAATATGGTTATTGTTCTTTGGGTGAATAGGCATTACTTCATTAGATTTTTTTCAATGTATTGTTTGTGCAATTTATCTCAAACTAATAAAAGAGGTGGATTGTAACACTAAAGCCTCTTTGAGGCAGAGGTCCTGTCCAAATGCATTACGTAAAGTTCACTAAGTCTGCATAGATGCATCACTCCATTTGTCAGCCATTATTATTATTATCTTTTTGCCTCTTGTCTGTATTTAAACTTTCTCCTTCTTTTACCCATGGTCAAATAGTCACATGGTAACTGAGATCTTCAAACCTGGACCATTTGTACTTCCATATAGATTTGACTGCAAAAAAAAAAAAACTTAGTAGGATTTGTCAGGCATGACCTGAAGATCAAATTTGGTAAGAAATGACAAAATGTGTCGGAGAAGTAAAAAAAAAAAAAAACTAAAAAAACAATTGCAGTTGTTGATCGCTAGGTGATCTCAATTTCAAGGATGCACATCAAGTTTCATTTCAGCACATCAAAGATTTAAAAAGATGTTAAGATTCATAATGGTGAAGAGACAAATTGGCTGAGGGTCATTGATATAATCTGATTCAGCACGATCCAAGAAATCCATTGAGCCATTGTGATTTTAGGACAAATAGTCTCTAGAACAGTAGATGACGCTGTCATAAAACTTGCAGATGGAGCAGATGGCCTCCTGTCATGCTTATCAGGGAACAAGTTATCATTCCAGATATTCCTCATAGCAAACTTGTTAATTTCTGCTTCTCCTCTCAATCTGAATGCTGGTGTGTCTGGCTTATAGGCTGATTACAAAATGATGTTTTAAAGAGCTCCTCAACCAGTTATCATCAAAATAATTAATATTTCCTAGGATCAATTATCAAATTAAAGTAGGTATATATAACCATCCTGGCATGCAATAAAGAATTTATCTCTGGGAAACAACATGTCAAGATATTTGAAGACCAATAAGTTAATGTCAAGACTACATTAAATATGATAAATTATCAATATGTTAATATGATATATTATACTATGTTTGTGTGCAGGAAGATGTGTGATCCCAGCGTTTCAGCGTTTGAGCCTGAGGCCCTGGGAAACCTGGTAGAAGGGCTGGATTTCCATCGCTTCTACTTTGACAACCGTAAGATGCAACATGTACCTGTATTTTAATTCATAAGTATTAAAAGCAAAATTCTAATTAGCTTCTGCCTAATGCTATTTCACCTCAAAATTTGTATAATGCTGGTTGAATAAGAGCAGGCATGGTTTACATATAAATATGCAAATAGTGGATATTGTCTAATCCATAATATGTGGTGTTTCTAATTTGTCAAAGCAAAATATGATGTGGTGTTTAATTGTGACATCCAGACAATGGTTTAGGATTCACTTCAAAGCAAAGACATAACACTGATGACAGGGGAGCTCCTTTTTGCTGCCTGTTCATTTTTTGTATACTTCATATAGGGGAGAGGGGGGTAAGTTGAGCCACTCCCTGTATCTTGGCAACTGTACACTTTTACTGTCATGTGACCTTGTATTTTGGAACCACCTATCATTTCTGCCAGACTATGAAAAGGAGAAACACATGGGAGGATTGGAAGGCACCCATTTATTTTAAAAACAGTTTTTGGCTTGTCAAAGTAACATTTTTAAATTTTGGCATAAGTAGGCGCGTTTCCATTACAGATTTGCGCAAAACTTTGGCGATATTTCATAAATGTCGATAAAAAAGTATTGCGAAATGACGGCGTTTCCATTAACCGATGTTATGCGACTAAAACTTAATTTTTTCCTCTCGCGATAAGTCATGGCAATGGATTTTGATGGGATTTTGACGGATTTTGGCTACACTAGACATTATATTTCATTGAAGGAGGCGTATGCGTGTATCTTGACAGAAGCAGCGCGGAGAGCAGCTTCTGGGACGTGCCGTGGCGTGACTGGTAACACAAGCGTTGACTAGAGTGGCCACGATCAGCTCCGGTGGCCGTTTCGGAGCTGTAACGCGCCGCAGACGTGTGCAGTGTAAATAGTCTAAGCATTAATGGCAGGGAAAGCCCCTTATACTTGAGAGCAGCCACATATGAAGTGTTTCTTGGAAGTTATAGTACATTGAGGAATGATCATATGACTTTTTACGTACGCCATTTGACCTGTTAATGCGAAAAAAAACGTTTCCATTGCAGTTCTGCTAAATATTCCTTTTTCGAATTGCCTGAAAAACCATCTCATGCGAGCGTAAAAACTTTTTTGCGATATGGGCGTTTTTGCGAAATTGACGCATTTCCATTAAGCGTATTTTCAATTCACAATTTCAATTTGCGCAATTTGAAGGGTAATGGAAATGCGCCTACAGATGTAATGGCTGTTGCATCAAAGCAAATTTATCCAGGTTTAAAAATATTTATGATGCACACAGGGTATTTAGCAACATATAAAACCATGCAAAACATTTAGCCAAATATTAACCTGAATTATTAAGCTAGCTAGTTTTTTTTCTCCAAAATGGCAGCTATGGGGCAAAGTGAGCCAAATGCTGTGGGGTAAATTGAGCCAAATTGAGCCTTACCCCACCATAAGGAACTGAAGTTAAGATAAATCTCTGAAGTATAAACTGGTATACTGCATATATATATATATATACATAGGGACAATGTACAAGTGCACCAAATCCTTCTCTTATAAGAACCAGAAGATGCTTTTCATCACATTATAATCATATATCTTTCCACCTGTAGTCCCTAATGGCCTGTTCGACATTGCAGAAAAGCGTCCATGCCAAGAATCTTTTGACAAAAATGTTTATTAGTTTAAGTGACATTTATTCCTTCATTCTAATCCAGTTTTAATTTAATTTTACTCAACAAACACACTGTTGTTGGGAAGGTTAGAACTTTGGTGTTCAACATATTGTTTCATAAATGCAAACAATTAAAAAATGAAATTTAAACTTCATTTAGTTGGTTTTATGTTAAGTTAGCTTTAAGACAAAAAATGTGACTGTTTGTAAAAGGAATTTTTTTAGTTTTTAAAAGATGTAAATCTTTAAAGATTTCACAAGGGTTTGAATCAGATTCAGTCAGATGGTCAGTTTACACCCAGATGGTGCATCTTACCCACTGACTTGGGTCAACTTACCCCTAACCTGGGACAAATTGAGCCATGGGAACACTTTTTTATAAGAAGCCATATTTTTAGAACCCTTTGTCATAGATACATTCTGATAATTTAAAATGTTTCCTGAAATTACTTTAGATACTTTTATTGGCCTCATTTTCCCTTATCTTGAGGACCAGTAAAACGTGGCTCATCTTACCCCACTCTCCCCTACTGCATCACCATTTGTTGAGTTATAGAAGCCATTTTTTTCTTGAATTAAACTCGCCACATCCAAACAGATTCAACAGCTGAAATATTTGTTAAATGCCACTGTTGTTGTTGTTTTGTTTTTTTTAAACCATATAGTAATTTATTAAAACGCACATAAATGAATGTTATGAACTGTATATGTAGGAGTTTTCTTTTTTTGTTTTTTCACTGGTGTTTTACTTTTCACTAATTTTATTAAATTATTAATTGCATTGTGTTTTAGCATCTAGCTTAAAATGATTGTGCTGGTAACTCTGTAGTTTTAGGGTTAAAGGAAATGTTCATAAATGGAAAACATCCCTTACGAAAAACCTCCCTTTATTCAAGTGTGCTATTAGAATACTTCTTTTAAACTAAAAAATAGGAAAGTATACTTTTAGTCCTACTTTTTGGTAAGGGATGTGTTGAAAAAAATTGGCGTACAAACAATTTTCACTGAGAAAACGTTAATGAACAACAATTAATTAAAAAGAAACTGCAAGTAACATATTAAATTATTGACATTTTGAAGTAGAAAGACTAAAATAGCATTTTTTTGTAAAATGCGCTCCAGTAATCTTTTTTACAGTGTACTGGTAATTTTCTGCCAGGACATTATCCATTTTTCAACAGATTTTTTTTTCTTAAAGTGTATGTTTTCAATGTTATACCAATCACATTCAATGGTAAACTATGGTCATCAACATATAAGTGTTGCTGCACATTGTGTTGGACTGTGTGCATTACCCAACAAGCCTTGAAACATTATTGGAATATTCCATTTTTTCATTTTGCAAACATTATTGGAACATTACTTTGGAATCTTCTCAAAACAAGTAGTGAATAGTAACATTTTAAAAACACTAGACGATCATCCAACTAAATGGTTTCATAAAAAAAAAAATAATAATAATTTATGATATTTTTGTGCTAACATTTTGAGAACATTATTCAAGACCCGCTAACTGTGAACAAACGTTCTGTTAACGTTACTGCAAGATCTTTTGCTCATTACTTTGAGAGAAACATGACAGATGTTCCCTGTCCGCTAGGATTGCAGAACCTCTCTAGCAACCTAGAGATTTTTGTAAAAATGTGATTTTTTTTTTTTTTACAGTGTGGTCAAAGAACAGCAAGCCAGTTCACACCACCATCCTGAACCCTCATATCCACCTGATCGGCGAGGAGGCCGCCTGCATTGCCTACATTCGTATCACGCAGTATCTCGACACAAACGGAATGCCATGCACTGCCCAGTCAGAGGAGACACGGATCTGGCATCGTAAAGACGGCAAGTGGCAGATAGTCCACTTCCATCGCTCAGGCTCTCCGTCTGCCATCACTAAATAAGAGAGTCAGGTAATAAATCTAAAAATTAATTATTAGCATTTATTATTATACACAGATGTGATGATTGCAGAGGCAGATTCAGCAATTCTTAAAATTTTGTACTATTTTACATTTTTAAAAAAACCTTAAGACGACAATTGCTGGGACCAGTTTTTTTCAATACTTTGTGTACTTTTTTCAAAACTCTTCACACAGTGTCAGCTAAACTGTGGATCATTTTTCATTTAGTACAAAATGCATTCAACGACTGCATCTTTCAAATTACATCAAATTACATGAATTATTTTCTCACTCAAACACAACCACTGGCAAAACTCCACAGGTCGATTTGGACTTATAGTAACTGTTAAACTTAAGTTCAAAACCTAACATAGCAATTTGCTACAGTTCTACATCACACCATATTTAAATACATTGCCAATCTAAAAAAATGAAATGCTATCTAAACAAATAGATTTACAGTAGCTGAACACTTACACAGGTGTTAGATTTTCAGTTTCCTCACCATCTGCACAAAATGGTAAAAAAAAAAAAAATGTTGTACTGTAATATAAATTCGGACCATGTAACGCACTGCAGTGAGAGTGCCATTCTTGTTTTGTAAAGACATTTTACAGAAGAAAACATTGTGTGATGCTACCGGTTGTTTGTGGTTAAGTCATTGCTTTATTAGTGACAAAGTGTGTTTATTGGATGACAAGCTTTGCTAGAGTTAATTTGAAACACGTATGAAGTGTTTTGGTAGTTTTAGTGAAATTCGAATGTGGAATTTACTGTTGTGTCAAGATGAAAATTGGTTCGGAGAGCTGTGTGAAGAGTTTGAGTCCGCCATTAAGTATTAAGTACTGAGAATCGGACCCTACCGATTGTAAAAAAAAAAAAAAAAAAAAACGGGGAAATTGTTTTTTATTTTATACTTTCTTCTAGCCCAGTGGCTGTAATTCAGCCATTAGTACAGGTTGAACTGTAAACTGTAATCATGAATGGTTCATAAACAGATTGTTGTTGAATATGTTCGGCAGATCGGAGTGAATCTGTTGGAACATGTAAACACAGTGGACACTCATTCAAAACCAGCCGAGATCTGGGAGTAATACAGTATGATCCTATAGATGATTATGTCTGCATCTACAAACTGTACAACAATTGGCTTCAAACTAGGGCTGTGACGAGATCTCGCGATATTATAATGTGACGATAGGTGTGTACGACTTGAAGCGACGCTGCGTAGACCGATCGCTCTCACGGTATTTTGATGTCATACACCGATTGGTCTGTGCAGCCCCGCTTCAAGTTGAACACTGGATATTTATCGTCGAGGTGAAAGGCTGTCTCGCGATATCAGTATGATTGCAAAATCAGTTTTGCTCAATTTCGCAAAGGAAATAGTTCCAAACAAAGCCACAGCAGAACTGTTCTGCGTCTCCGAGCAACACACAGCGGTGATTCTTTACTAAATGAATCTGCGGTTTTGAATGAATCAAGTGAGTCAATGACTTTCAGTCGAATAAAAGAAGATTTCATAAAAATAGTGTTAAAATATCATCTCGACTCGTCGTCATGAACCCAATACTGTGTATTGTCTCGTCTTGTGAGTTAAGTACTACAAAGAAATCATGCTGAACTGAAACAGTACAATGACACAGTGAACTGCTCACAGCAATCGTCAATAATACACCGACACAATGAACCCGTGACAGGATTGCTCCAGTGACTCTGACTCAGGGTCATGTACAGTGTCTTTCAAACCAATGAGAGCCAATGAGAGTCAAGCTTCTTTAATAGCAAACAGCATGCTGAAAATATGTTGATTTACTTCGCATTTTTTTGAAAATATGCAAAAATCTTTTTTTAAGCTCAGAGATTTACAGTAAATAAATTTTACTATTGTACCATGAAAATTCATTAGGCGCTCATTTGCATTATTTACAAGCATTTCGTACACTGTTTGCATTTAAATAGATGGACCATTTCCAGCAGATTTAGTTTACAGACAACTTTCAGTCATGTTTAACAATGATTTTCATTTACAATATACAATTCAAAACTTTGCCATTAGCAGAGTCCATGTCATCAAACAGATCTTTGCACACTCGAGCCCTGAGAATAATTTTACTCTTGACTCATCGTGAGTCAGATTTGACGAATTCAGCGAGAACAGCAACACACGGACCAGTGCAATTTGTGAACATACCGAGCCACTAAGGGGACATGGTAATGGAAAAAAGCATATAGCATATAAGATATTTATGTTCTCTGTGTTGCATTCTCCTAAAAAACATTTGCGATCTCCTGTCAGAGAGTTCTGACAAACTGTACTTTGAATTCAGGCAGTCTGTTCAAAATTCTAAATAAAACTTTACGATCTGCTCCTTGTGTTTGTGTTTATGTCCGAATCATTGTCAGGCTGCCAGCAAGAATTTAAACGGACAAAGGCAAGTTTTGCAGAAGAACACAACATTGAAATGTAATTTTCCTCCCATCTCATATGTCCCCATAGAGGCTTCCTAAGAACTGATTTAACAGGTTCATCCAAAAGAATCAGCTTCTTTAGTTTTAAATGACAATGTGCAATATGGTTTTAAGAATTGTCATAGAGTAAAAAGTTAGATAAAAAAGCATTACTTTTTCAAATATCTGTACTTTATCATCATTTTCTGCTTATTAATAGTAAGGTAGTTGTTAAGTTTAGGTATTGGGTCGGATTAGGGATGTAGAATATGGTCATGCAGAATATGTGTTTTATAAGTACTAATAAACAGCCAATATGTTAATAATAGGCATGCTTATAAGCAACTAGTTAATAGTGTGAATTGGTCCCTATACTAAAGTGTTACCGTATGTATTTATTTAATCAGGTACAATACACATTAATAATAAAATATGCCAGATTTAGCTGAGGTGGCTAATTTTCATGTGTAGTCCCACTTGATATTTAAAGAAGAAGAAAAAAACGTACATGAATACAAAATCTTTAACACTAAAATCCCTATAAATGCTTTCAGAGAAACCTGTTTTAGAAAAATTACAGTGACGTTTTATACCTTTTAATTCTGGTGGGAGTCTATTCCAGTTATAGGTTCATCTAAAGGCAAAAGATAACTTGGGGAAAATGTTTGATAACAGTCGTCGTATATCAAATATCTTGTTTTGTGTTGCTAATGGCGAAGAAATGACGTTTTAACTTTTCCTGAATTACATTTGTGAACACACTACACAATTCCAGTCCTGGACGTCCTGCAGATTTCCATTCCAAATCAAACACACCTGAAAAATCTGACCCAAGTTTTCAGGATTTCTGAGAATTGGAGTTCATTGTGTTTGGTTTTCATCATCTTAGTCTGTTACGCTACGTTTTGGGAGGAAAAGTGAAAGTTTACGCGTTCCGTTCATATTCTGGCCATCTGCTTGCCTTGTATAGTATATTTTATTAATAAACTGTATATCGAATTTGGTCTTTTAATATCACTGTCTTGCATTAAAGGGGACATCAGATGCAAAATTTACTTTTACATGGGGTTTGCATATAAATGTGTCTTAGCAGTGTGTGGACACAAGCACCCTACAATGATAAAAATCCATTCACTCCTTTTTTTCAATCCCCCAAAAACCTAAACAGTCTCAATTATTAAGCTGTTTTGATTTTCTGAGCAGTATGACATCATACTGCTCAGGCCCCGCCCACGACCGCTGACAGTCTGTCCTGTATTAGCATATTTCCGCCCTCAGCCAGATGTACGCTGTCCGTCATTTTCTCTGCGCTCGACCAGCTGTAGCGACAACAATGTCTCATAAACATTGCAGGCGTTTTGTAGATGGATGTAAAAGTGAACATAAGAGTCTTCATTTTCTACCGACATAGAGCAACTGAGCACGCAGTGGATTAGTTTTGATTTTTAATAGTAATGCACCACCGAATACACAAAAATCGGAAGAGAGGGGCGGGGTGAGCAGTAACTCATTATCATTTAAAGAGACATCCACCGAAACAGGTCGCTGTGTACAGAGCTGTTTTTGACAAGGTAAAAAGGCTGTTGTTTTACACGACCATTGAGGAATTTTTACCAAAGTATGTTGCTGACCCTAAAGAATCATACCAACTTATGGAAAATGGGCATCCGATGTCCCCTTTAAAGGGGTCATAGGATGCTACATGCACTTTTACAAGTTGTTTGAACTAAAATGTGTGTTGGCAGTGTGTTTACACAACCACCCTATAATGATTAAATGCGTCTATGTTCGCGCGAATTATTCGTGATCCAGCTTCCCCTTGAGAAGACGTGAGTATAAGGTTTTTGAATTAATCTTTGCAAATCGCATTTCCTAATAACGTGCTAATTAGCAAGTTTCACGATGAATGCGGCTAAAGTAAACATTCGTTACTGACTTTTCATTAAGACCCTAAAAAATCTTATCAACTTGTGGAAAATGGGCATCCGATGATGCCTTTAAGCCATATTAATAAGTGTTAAAGGGGTCATATGATGCGATTTCAAGTTTTCCTTTCTCTTTGGAGTGGGAATTCGGCCAATCACAACGCACTGGATAGCTGGCCAATCAGAGCACACCTCGCTTTTTCAGACCGATGAGCTTTGTAAAAATCGACACGTTTCAGAAAGGCGGGGCATAGAGGAGAAATAATAATGTACAGTATGTGGAAAATAATGTTTTTTGAATACACAAAATAATTTTCTTTTTTAGCAAACATCATATGACCCCTTTAATGGTTTTCTACGGTAGGAAAACACTTAATGAGAGACTTTGCGCATTGCGTTCATATTCTGCTGTTCTGTGGCCACAGATTTGCGGGTCTTGTCTTTTTCTCCTACAGGTGACTTGCAGGACTCTGTATGTTATAGTACTAAATTACTTTTAATTGTTTAACCACCACAGCGTCTTGTCTCCGTTGGCAAAGTGCAAGATTTGTGTCGATTCCAAGTGATGTCGCAGGTAGCAGAGAGTGCAGGTGGCAAGTGCAAGTGACATTATAATTTTGTATAAATATTTGTTTCTCGTCTTCACCAAATGGTTACTGCTGTAAAATGTTAAGAGATTAAAATAAAATTAAATAAAATAAAAAACCCTATAGGGATTTCTTGAAAATGACAGGGAAGTGTTTGATCAAGCATGGAGCTAAATGCTGCAGTGACCCTCCAGGACCAGAATTTTCTAACATATTTGTGAATTATATTTGTAAAAAATGTTCATTTTTAGACTTGCTCTATAACATTTTGTATACTGAACTAGCTTTCTTTTTCTGTCTTAGTTGAAAATACCAGAGTTGCAGGATCACTGGCTTGAGGATGTACAAGCTCCCGGCTTCTCATCTCATTCCTTGAACTTCATTGGCCCTCTGCTTTACGGTGTCATCACATTCACATTAGCATTTATTCTCATTGCTCAGAACACTTCTTTATGGATAAACTATGATGAAGCCACTTTGCTGTTGCAACCCTGCTGTATGGAATGTTTTTTTTTTTAGTATCTTGGTTATGTTTACAAAATTAGCCACCATGTTTTTAACCATAAGTGCTACATTTGCAGATATTTGACACAAATTAGATATTCGGGACAACTACTACATTCCAAAAGAGATCCTGTTTCCTGTGTTTTATAAAAACGACACGGATACCTAGATATATTTTTTTTCAACGGTTAGACATTTCCAGCTCACTCTAGCGCCTGTAATGAACTCGAATGTAATCTGATTGAAATGGATCTCTGTGTTATTTTAATGTCTACCCCTAAACAGAAGTACTTGTTTATATATTTGAAATAAAGTGACAACTGGAGAATTGCTAGGTACGAATACAGTAATGACGTTTCCTGTGAATGTCACTGGACAGATATCAGCACAACTTGTCCTCCACTGCCCGATTTCCAGACAATCGCCATTGAGCAGTTTCTACCGAGTTTAGTAAAGCGCATTGAACAACAGTGAATTTCAGCATACTCTTAGCCCTTGAAATCAAAGCTACATCGATGACCCACTCAACGAACAGTTGCTTAAAGTTAAAGCTGGTGCTGATGGTGGCATTATCAAGAGCTGCAGTGGAAGAGTAAATGCATGCGAGAGCTTGATATTTCTTTCTGCCGTACAGGGTTTTCAGATCCGGGTCTGGTGTGGTGTGCTCAGAGCACTTTGATAAAGTTCTTCCAGTAGGGCTGGTATATTTGTTCTTCCTTTTGTATTTAGGATTCAGGGATTTTTTCATTTTATTACAAAAGGAAGTCTCTTGAAACAGCTCTTAAAGGGATAGTCCAACCAAAAATGAAAATTTGATGTTTATCTGCTTACCTCCAGGGCATTCAAGATGTAGGTGACTTTGTTTCTTCAGTAGAACACATATGATGATTTTTAAGTCCAACCTTTGCAGTCTATCAGTCGTATAATGCATAGCAATGGTAACAAAATCTATGAGAGTAAAAAAAACATGCACAGACAAATCCAAATTAAACCCTGCGGCTCGTGACGATACATTGATGTGTAAAGACATGAAACGATCGGTCTGTGCGAGAATCTGAACAGTATTTATATCATATTTTACCTCTAATACACCACTATGTCCAACTGCCTTGAGCGCGCGCACGGCATCCGGTGCGTGAGGTGTGTACGCGCTCTGGCGTAGTTTACGCAAGCGCCGGAAGTGATCTCTCGCGCGTATACGTCACTCATTGTTTACA